TAATTATCACCTTAATGGATGTGAGCAGATGAGGAAACGTGAGTTGAGCTACCTTTGAAGGGTGATAATGATGCAACTGAGTAGTTTTAGGCTTCCAATTTTGTTGTTTAGGTTTCCTTTTTAAAGACTCAGCTTAAGTGTGTTATATATAACGTCTTTAAAGTTGTGGACAAATCTTAAATTTATTTTAGACTTTTTTAAAATATTTGTAATAGTTTATTTTAGCTTTTGAATTATCTATATTGTGTTTATTAAGTGTGTTATGTTTCACTTAATAGTTTAAAGTATTAACTGTGATATTGTATTTACTAGAACACAATATATTATGCAAAAGTATTAAATTTATAGAGAGAGAAAAAAATATCGTATTTGATATTTTTACTATTTTATTTTTTTATAACTATAATGATATAAAGTAATTTAAAATGATCCAAAATCTTTGCTCAGAGTTCCAATGTTAGATGAATTTTGATTTTGTAAAACTAGTAGTTTAGATATGATTAAAAAAGGAGTGCTTAAAAGATTTTCTAGATAAGAAATTACAATTAAGATGTAGGATAAAATAAAGGACCAAGAAAATTAAAGGGTAAAGAAAATAAATGACGAAATTATAGATTGTAAGAAAATTAAATGACAAGAAGTTAGCACATTAAAGAAACTTGCAAAGTGAAATATAAATTTCTGGAAGAAAATTATCAATGCTTTCCTTTTCTCTTTTCACTTTCAATAGACAATTGGTATAACTTTCTTCTCACATAATTTTTATTGGAAGGTTTTATTGATCTACTCAAATTTCTTATTGTTTAACTTGTTTTTCTTCATCCAATATTGGTTAACTTGTTTTTCTTTACTTAACTTTACCACTTAACATATATTTTTTATAATATTTTCCTGTCGATAACAATCACAAGAAAAGTACCTTGTTTAGAATTCTTTTAAATTAATATTCAATTTTTTATTAAATAAATTATAGTAGGGACAAAATGTCATCCATCAGTGTGTAATATTTATACTTTGTTGTCAAAGAAAGAAACTTATCAAAGTAAAATATAAAAACTAATGGAATGATTCACTAAAGAGCCACCCTACCAATGTCATCCAATTTAATCTTCCAAAGTTAAAATAACTGAATAAAAATGACAATGATGATCATTCACGAGTTAATTAAGTTTCAACTCCTTTATAAATTTTGAATTTGAGTATGTTTATTTCAGTTGTTTTTCAAATATGTCTATTACAAATTTTTATATTTTTTAATTGAATATTTGTAATTTAAGTTTTTGTTAATTGAATAATATGATTACTAACTTTTATTACTTTCATTAAAATTGTATCTTTGTCATTGTCATCCCCACTTATAAAATTGTTTTATTTATTAGTTTTAATAAAAATAATAAAAATAATTTCTTATTTTATATTATCGCAATATCATTTTTACATTAAACTACAAAACTTCACACTTTTAACACGAAAAAGTAAATAAGTTGACTGGAAATATAACATTATTTTACTTATTTAATAAAAATAAATAAATATAAAGATTCAATTAAAACATATAAAAATTTCAAATATTTAATATATCAAGAAATTTTCAAATTTATTAAAAACTTAAAACTTAACTAAGACATAATTTATTAACAAAATACTTCTAACTTAAAATTTAATAATCTATTGAAAAGATATTAATAGTAGAATAATCTAACGAATTAAACAAAACATAATTATTAAACGTATTTAAAAGCTATCGCATGTCTTATTTTTAGTAATTAATTAATTAATTAATTAATAACACTTTATAAGCAACCCTATTTTATTAAAAAAATAAAATATTTAATCTGTACTGCAACTTATTCTAAAATAAACTGGGGTTATGCTAATAAATCAGGGAAGTAGATATTACATTTCGTAATTATTATTTTTTACTATTTTCTTACTTTGAAGGGTCAAAGTTGACGTAACATTTCTAATTTCTAATATTTTGTTTATCTTAATGCAAGAGATTAAAGAATCTAATAAACTTTTTCACAGGTTTGTGAATTTGACGTTTTCTTGGAATCTATTACAGAGATTTAACCAACTATAATGTGACACCATTATATGCAATTGTGATAGAGATAGGTTGACTTTTATAAAGACTCAAAATTTGTCAACAAAACGTTGCCAAATGGGTTGGAAAAACTTGGAACACAAGAAATTAAATTTCAATTTGAATTTGGTTTGTGTTTTAATTTCTCCACTTTACACCTACGTTCTTTCTAAGCCATTAGTGAAAGTGATTTACTTTTTTTTCCTTAGCAGAATCTCTTCATAATGAATAATTTTTTACTGATTTTTTGGAATTCAATGCTTTTAATTAAGAAAATATTAATATTATGATTTAACAATAAAGTTTATAATATATACGAATTTTAAATATATTAAACTTGAATTGATTAATATTATTTTTAATTTTTTATATAATTTGATTGGATGCTAGTTTATATTTATTAAAGAAATATAATTTTTTTTATTAGGATAAAAAAAATTCAAATTATTTCAAATATAAAGAAATTAGTTAAATATCAAATAATTAGTGATAATTTCAAATAAAATTAAATATCAAGTTTGGCAATTCAGTTATGTTAACACATGAAAGTCCATCCATTAAAATAATTAATAATAACTCAAAATTATTAATATTGGTTTTAATTAGACTAACACCGATTAATTTTACAATGTTGTTTTGTGAACTTTTCAATCAATCTCAACTAAAAAGCTTTTGAATTGACTTTTGGTAAAAAAAAATCTTAATCAATTACCTTAAATTTCTCTAGTTAACATTATAAAAAATTATTGATAAAAAATAGCATTAATATGAATGAAAAAAAATACTCATTACAGACATCAATAAAGAAAAATCAAGATATATTTCAATGAGAAAATTATCTTGTTCAAATTGAGGAAGAAAACCAAAAGAACAACAATTTAAATAAAAAATAACTTTTATCAACATCAATAAAATGATATTCAATCAAACCATGTATAAATCTTAATTAAGTCGACAATCCACACTCGAACTATCAGGATAATACGAAGAGGAAACGCTAAATTTTAAATTACAAACAAGTTCAAATTCTTAGTCTTGGAAGTAAAACTCAAAATTTTCTATTTTTAATAAGTTTAATTACTTTTATAAATTTATAAAATTATAAAATTATAAAATTATAAAATTATAATTTTCTTTAAAATTCTTTATCCAGATTTTTGAAAAATATATACAAATTTATCTCATAAGAGTAAACATTTTAGAATTAATAATCCTTGTACGTTACAACTAATATTAATGACAAGAACTTTAATGGCAAATCAATTGTGATTTCTTGTACTTTTTAAACTAAGAAGCATTCAGACCCAATTAATTAATTACGCTTTGAACTTTGAAAGTTTCTTCTTTATTAAAACTTTCCTTTAGTTTACAGCAATTATATTTCTGAAAAGGGTTGGAAGAAGTCAATTCTTTTGGAAGAAAAAATTTACTAAATTTTTACAAACTCTTCTAATTTTGTTTATATTCAGCTATCTATTTCAAGTATTATAATTTTTTTTCTGTAAAAATAAACTTAACCACAACTTTTTTGTTATTTTATCACAAACATAATATATTATCTAAATATCCATGTTTAAAGTGATAGTTTTTAGTTTTTATTTTAATGAAACAGAACCAGTGAGTTTTTTATTATGAAAAAGTAAAATCGTTTCAGTCATACTTAACAAGTGTAGAATTTGTTCCTTTCAGGAAAGGGAGTGATGTATTCCAACCAAACGAGCAGAATAATATACTAATTTGCTGTTTTTGTGAGACATGAACTGATTTATATACTTTACTGTTCTCTATACAAGGCAAGTATTCCAGTATATGTTAATATTCTTATTAAAAGGCCATGATCTGGAATTGCTTTGCATTGATTCTTGTATCTTAGTAATCTGTTAACACCGCTCCCCACAAAATACTACATCATATAATAATAATAAATTAATATTTTTCTTGCGGATCAAGTATGCCAAGTGAAGATGAGTTCTACATACTTCTTTGATTTTTTTTTATTTTGTTTTCTTTCTTTACTTAACGGTGATGTGTTGATAAAAGACACCCAGACATTTAAGTTAATAGAATAAATCAGATAACAAATAATGCAATAAGAATGAAAGTAAATTATTTATCTCAATAGATATATTATTTATAGAATAATTGTTAATTTATAGGTTTTCACCTATGTGGTCTAAGTGGACCAATAATTTATTATCATACAAGTTAATAGATTAAAGAAAATTATGCTAAGTTAAAGAATAACGATTTAATTATGTTAAGTTAAAGAATAATAACTTGTAGTCGGATTAGTTGAAGTTAGCTTATGGTCGGATAGCATCAGTTAACTATAATACAAATAAATTAAAGATTTTTCATCAACTATAATATAAATATTTACAATACATGCAATCATGATCTTATAAGTCAATTTTGTAAAGTTAAAATACACTTAAAATCTATTTCTTAATATATTATTAAAGTTAACTAAAACTCATCTTTTTTTTGTTAAATTTATGTCATAATTGTTTATTATTTATTAATATCTAATTTTATATTTAGCGTAGATATATATATGTTTAGATGTACATGTATATGTTTATATGGATTAAAATTTTTATATAAACTAAAAATCATCTTCTCACAATTTGATAACAAGTAAGATAAATATTAATATAAATTTTGATAAAATTATTGAGTGATTAGATAAATTCAATAATGTAATCTCATATACAAGATAAAAAAACTAAATTTATGTTTAAAACATGTTCATAAAATTATTGGTGTAAAGTGATATTTACTCTTAAATAATGTAAATTGTTGTTACATTGTATTAAACAACTTCTAACCACGTCATTAATTGAATATTAGTAACTATGCATGACTCATTGATGAATTCAAGTACACATGTCTTCTTTACATATACCCCTACATGTAATATTTAGAGGGCATTCTCTTCCTCTGTTTTTCGTGGTTCTCTTCCTCTGTTCTTGTTTTCCGGCAAAGCCACGTTCATTCTTCAGTTCATTTCTTCCTTTCTCTTTTTCTCTTCTGCATCATTCTCTTCCAGCGCCTTTTCCGGCGAATTCGGTGCCCAGTCACCGTCATTTCTGCTGAGCAATCTCTCCTAACGGTGTCGTTCTGTCCTCCCTCAGGTTCTCTCCCCGCTTTATATCCTTCGTTTACTTTCCTTTTTTCCTCTCTTATATGTCTCAGATTTGAAATTGTACCGAGATATTTGTTAAATTTATTTTCCAGTTCTCTTCCTATTTCTTGGTTTTAATTATTTACGGTGAGTTGCATATATTACAATTTGATTATTTTCTATTGTGAATAGTGATTGTGCTTTGCATTTCTGGTTTCGTCATTGGCTTGGCGTTTACACACACATACATATATATTCTGATTTGGTTGTTAGGAATATGCTTGTTTCGAATTTTTTCCCCGAAACATTGTTTGTCTAGACGTAGTAGCATCCTTTTCTTATACCGTTAATGAGTCAGTAGGGAAGTTGAGAAAATAGACGACCATTTGGGAACGAAGAAATATAAGAATGTTAGGCTCATCGAGTTGAAGTGATTCTTGAAAATGAGTGATGAGTATTTCTACCATAAATTTTCGTTGGGGTGATTTAATGAATAGTGAAATTATCTTAATACAATACAAACCACGGCTTCTTAACAAGATCCTTTAGGTAGAAATTGAATTTAAATAGAATATTAACGAACGAGCTAAGTATCTCTTACTTAACTATCTTTATACTCTTAAAATATTATAAACAAAACCAAAGTTAGTTTTCTAGGTTCTCTGATTGTGCAATAGGTTGACACTGCTACTTTTAAGTTTGGGTGGCTGAACCTATCGATGTCACTACTGCCAATGTTGCTGTTAAGTGAAGTGCATTCATGGCAGCTCAACTGGCACGGACCCCAGATGATGTTGTGAGTCAGAGCTTAATGGTTTAAAGTGTGTTAAAGTGCATTCATCACCTCCAAATGTCTGGGATTGATGCCGCCCACCAAATGATCAAGTATTATGAGGGTAGGGGTTGTATACGAGTTTTGGATATCAACTTTGACATATGCATCTTCCAATGCTGTGAATTAAGGCGAGAAAGGTGGTGACACTTGTATATAAATTAGCTTATATAGGTTCCACCCCTTTATCATGCTATTCTTGAATAACAAAGATGCTTAGCAGACCTAGTACAATGCGATTCACTGATGCAGGTTTAACTTGTAGAGAAGTACGTATAAACTTTAGGCACATGAAAAGACATATTATTTCTATAATTGTTGAGAAAATTCTAAATTAAAAGTTGTTAATACTAATAACGTAGTTATTGAAAAATCATTAACCTTATACAAATTTGTGTTCAAACCAAATTTAATTTTAAAAGCATATACACAGTAGTCTTTTCAATATTAGCAAACATTTCAGTTATAATTCCTCCTTTCTCTTATTAAAATTATGTTTGCTTTGTGGTTTCTTTTACTTTTCCTGCTGGATGAGTCCTTGATCAGTGTAAAAGTGTTGTAAGTCATCTTATGTGTATATTTAGAAAATATATACTCCGACACAGTTATATTTATTTCAGTCACCACTTATGTTATGTATATGCTTTCATTTAGATTTGGAAGTTTAAGCATGTTAGTATATTGTTATCACGAAATTACATGGTTTCAAATCCTACAAAGGTAGCTAATTTCTAACATGGTAACTGTGAAACATCAAGATTCTGCAACAATTTGCTATCTGTAATTTGTTTCTGAATAAACCCATTAAAAATTCTTGAAAGAAAGCCATAAGAAGTTGCCCCTCCTATAGTGTTTCTGTGTACCTACTGTCTAAAATACAAACTATACCCCTGCAACAATTATATTAATTTTACTATCTTCTTTGTGTAGCATATCCTGCAACACACCCTTCATCATGCAAAGAAGTAAGGTTTTGAAGCAAATACTGAAGGTGTTTTGAGAGGAATCTTAATAGGGAAGTAAGGTTGCTTTCCTTGGTCTATTTTCTACTGTGGTGGTTACGACAGTTGCTTGAGTTTGAAGTATTATTTGCATGTTTTATGGAGTTGGAAAAATTATGTGATTGATGTTTTATTATATGGACTTGCAGTATTGTGCTCTATTGACCTTGGTAGTCTATTAAAAAAATACAATGTAATGATAACTACTCTTGTGAGCTTATTCAGTGGTTGAATAATTTCACATACTTTTATATTGTTTTATATAACTTGAATAACTTTTCTAATTTTTTATTATTTTTATTGCACTTTTGGTTTTGCTGCATAATCCTGTATGAGAGATGCGAGGCATGAGAATGTGGCAGTAGAATTTATATAATGTTGCTTGATTCTTTGTATGCTAGTTTTCTGGTTAACTAGTCTCGCCAAAACTTTTATCAATCTTCTTGTTCTTGTCTCTATCTTAGAGTGCCTCCACTGAAAACTTCTGATACCACCACTAGGCAGAAGCTTTTCTGTATCATTTCCAAGCCATGTCTGATCTGCAAGCATCAACAAAGCATTTTCTAGACTCTAGAGAGTCTGAATATTGTTTTGCAGAGTTTCACCAGCAGCCAGTCAAAGGGCATGCTTGAGAACTTATGTGATAACAAAAAATAGAGTTGTAGTGCTTGTAATTAACAGATAAAAAACATAGCTACATCGTCTCACCTCAACTTGAAATAAAATCAATTTAAAATATATAAACGTAAACCTCATTTTATAAATCAGTTTTGTATAATTAGAATAGGTTTAAAGTCCTGTTCATCATAGGTTATAGTTTTCACTTAACGATTGTGCCTGATTTTTTTTAGATGCAGAAACATAAGAGTTGAATTTCATTTGGTTTCCTTACACAGGACAGTTTCACTGGGTTATAATTAAGATCGTAGATTTTAACTCTGTTACAGCTTTGGTCAGCCACCGGCCCAGTGGTAGATGGCCAACTACACTCTGGTTATAATTTGAGCAACTCCTTCAAATACAGACCATAGAGCTTCTATTTAAAGGGAACTATGTTAAATATATATAATATGATCATTTAATTAGTTTTTATATGTTACGATTGATGAATTAGTTTCTATATGATCATTGATTTTTATATAACATGATTACTGAGCTAATTCTTATATAATATAGTAATTAAATTAATATTTATATAGTTGGTCACTAAACTAATTTTATTTAACGATACATAAATTAGCTTTTAGATCAAAATTTGACTTGTTTAGTAGCATTAATTGCCAAAATTTTAACCATTTATTAAGATTAGATTTTAAATTACTCTTTAATTGAGCCACTTACTAATTTTTATTATTTGAGAGAGCAATGGTTTAGTTTCTAAAAACAAATTTTGAAGTGGAGAATATAATTCTTTCGAGCAAAAGTAAGATATCGTTCATAAATTGTACTTCCATAAACACTTTTTATATATGATCCATAAATTGCAGGTTTTATCTGGTTGTAATTTCCACATCATTTTGAAAGCTGCGTAGAATAACGATACTTTGATTTCCGTAACTCACTCTTGATCATTTCGTCTGATAGTTCAAATATAGTTATCATCACTAAATTTAAACGTTTTGTACTTTCCCTCATTTTGCATTATCATATTATAAAGCTTTCTTAAAATATATGAGATGCATTCAAAAGTGATGGTGATTTTTAGTTTTTTTTTAAACAAAATAAATCTGGTAATAATGAATCTGAAATAATTTTTTACTCATTTAAATATTTTTTTACACTCACCAACAAATATGAATTTGATTTTTAGTTTTAAAACACTTTTGCTATTTTTCCCATGACTTCCTTTTTCTTTATCTCCATAATTGTTACATCTTAAATGGCATAATATACTACTTTTATTATTGTATTTTGTCAATATTCTCACTATATCGAAATTATTATTATATCGGTTAGCCTATCCATATCCCTTGTATACAAATATACATTCAAAATATTTTTGACAAGTGATAAACAACCTTTAAATTTTAATTAAATTGTTATAAACTTAAAATTGAAAATCATCATAAAATAAATTCTAATTTACAAATCTAAATGTAGTTTTTAATTTTTTTTTAAACTTAAAACTTAATATTAAATATTTTAATATAAATAGTAATTCAAGATAATTATGCAATGTTAAATGCCTGAAGATTTTATCCCTTGACCAAACGGTCCGAATTCGAATTTTAGTAATATTACTTTATATATAATAATTTATATTGACTAATTACATTCCTAATTTATATTGTATTTAATGCCCAATTTATGCTTATATTAATTAATGTGTTAATGTAAATTCTTTCTTGTGTGGCAATAACTTGATCTTAAAATGTATTGAATAAGCAGTAAATATAGCGTGACGCTGTGCCGATATAAATACGTCATATATTTTTATTTACAAAGTTGGTACTACATTAAATATTTATTAATTTTAGGGTATCAATTTTATTTTTGAGGCCATGAGAGGGAAAAATGACGAAGTTGAACTTAAAATTAAATATTTTTTATTAAATCTTTTATACTTTATGGTTACATAAATGTTTGTGCGTGCATAGAAAGTTGAGGAAGGGTCACGTTCTTCCATGTGATTACGAGATGTCCTAAGAACACTTAATCATGTCGCAATTCCCAAATGCCATTTTTCTAACTAAATAAGATATTTTGTTATTTTTCAATTTCAATTTAAAAAAAAAAATACTTTAGTTTGTTAAAAGTTCATAGCTTTTCATGCAGATGGCATGAATTCCTATTCAAAGACAGCAAATTGGTGAAAGGTCTCTTACGTTAAATCACAGGGCGTGATAGACTGGCTTTCCAGAGTAAGTGAATTGGATACGTGTAATCTCGTTTTTTTCTTATATTTGATAATGGTTTTCATGATGCACTTAACATGATTGATTAAAATCACAACCAATTTATGCCCATGAATGTTCTCATTTATCACTCACATGAGATTGAAAGTAAGTGAATATCCTGTGTATACACTCAAATGACTTTCTCTGTCCAGGAAACTTCATTCTATTATGAAGCTGGAATAAGGGTTAGAGGTGAAAATTTCGGTCTTTGAAATTGACTCTTGGTTCTACAAGAGTTACAAGAATGGCATTGGCATCTGTTCCAAAACTAGTGCTTGGATCCATTGCCTTTGCAATCTTTTGGATGCTAGCAGTTTTTCCTGCTGTGCCATTCCTTCCCATTGGGAGAACTGCAGGGTCCTTGTTAGGTGCAATGCTCATGGTCATATTCCAAGTTCTCAGTCCAGATCAAGCATACGAAGCAATCGATCTTCCAATTCTCGGTCTTCTTTTCGGCACAATGGTAGTCAGTGTTTACCTAGAAAGAGCTGACATGTTTAAATACATAGGAAAATTGCTTTCATGGAAAAGTAAAGGAGCAAAGGACTTACTTTTTAGAATCTGTGTGATTTCTGCTGTCTCGAGTGCTCTTTTCACCAATGACACTGCCTGTGTTGTTCTGACTGAATTCATATTGAAAATTGCAAAGCAACACAACCTCCCACCACACCCTTTACTGCTTGCACTTGCTACAAGTGCTAATATTGGCTCTGCAGCAACTCCGATTGGCAACCCTCAAAATCTTGTCATAGCTGTTCAAGGTAAAATATCATTCGGACAGTTTCTGATTGGTGTTCTTCCAGCTATGCTTGTAGGGGTTGTAGTGAATGCTGTGATTCTTATGGTGATGTATTGGAGGGTGTTGTCTGTTCAAAAGGATGAAGAAAATCCAATAGCAAATCATGCAGCAGAGGAAGAGGTCAATTCTCATCAGTTTTCTCCAGCCACAATGTCTCATTTTAACTCACTCAACTCTGAACAATGGAATGCACACATGGAAAATTTTAATCTTCCAAGTTCCCCTCATGGTCAGAATCTGAGAATTCGATCGGTAGTGGGTGATGGTGAAATCGACAGGGTTCTCAGCAACACGTTAGATTCCACAAGAAACTCTAATGCATCAAAGGAGGAGACAAATGGTATGACTTATGAGACGCATGAGGAAACCAGTCCTTCAAAAACTGATGCCAAAATGGTTAAACCAGTTGTGGAAACTGTGCTGAACAGTTTAGAAGTAAAGGAGCGTTTGGGTGTAAGATGGAAATATATAGTGTGGAAGTCGTGTGTTTACATGATCACATTGGGAATGTTGGTTGCCATGCTTTTTGGTTTGAATATGTCATGGACTGCTATTTCAGCTGCTCTAG